GGTGTGTTACTTGGTGGCAGCATGGACTCAACAACTTCCCAAAGCTGGAGCAGAAAACATGACTCCCGACAGTGCCTCCACCATGAAGCTAAGCTCTCAGAGAACCAAGTTGGGGTGGGATGGGGGGTGATGAGCCAGCCACCAGCTGCCATGCAATGGCACCATTCACTAAGCTGAGCATTGCCAGCGACTAACACAGCAGCTTAAGATTCATTTCATGTGATCTAAAAACAATACAGATGCTCAGTAAAGACAGATCCAGATTTAAAAAAAAAACAAACCTCTAAATGGGTTACAGTGTCTTTAAATATATACATGGGATTGGGAGAGAAAAGAGAAAGGGTAGAGCCAGTCATAGATAAAAAAATGTTTAAAAATAATAAAGTAAATTTCTTAAAAAGGAATAAAGTAAAAACAAGTATATAATAAGCCATGTAAAAGTGAAAAATACACAGAGAGTCTGGATTCTGTATGTTATTGTGTTGTCTTTAGATTTTCTGGTTGCTAATGAAGGAACAACAGCTGCTAAGACACATTATATATAAAAACTGCTGGATTAAACCAACCTATATATTTTTAAAATTTCTTCACTTCAAAATGAAAATCAAAGATATGCTACTTTGGGGTTATGCTTTTTTCTCCACAGGAAATGAGGGGCTGTGGATTCAATCCAAGTTGATATGGATCAGGTTTGATTGGGAAAGACATCCTGAAATATTGACTACAGACATAAAGAAATAAACCTAGAAGAATGACAAGACACATGATGTACATTTTACCTGCTCAAACATAAAAAAAAATCACCTTTGGCTGACTTATGTACAATGCACAATCTATACTTGTATTAATAGAGACATGTATATTACCTTTAAAATTTTATGTATTTTCAGAACAAGGTAATCAGATACCAGTGAAAATGAATGGCACATGTGATCCAGCATCTCAAAATGCCTCTGTTACAGTCTCCCCAGAATCCTACATCCAAAACAGCTTCAAGGCTGCTGGCTGAGATGGTCCAACCTCATAAACTACTCCAGTCAAAAACCTAACAATTATCCTGATTTTCTCAAGGTTCCTCCAAAGATGTCAGTGCCCACAGACAATAGGAAGTAGTCTAGATAATAAAGCCCACATTCCCAAGAGATGGGGTATGGGAGGGTTTTGATTATTCAATGAATTATGAATGTTTGTCATTGTTTAGGAGTGTTGGTTATAAGTTATTAGACATAGTCAAAATAAGAGCTAAACAAAAGAGTTAAATTCATCGGGCAGTGGTGGTACAAGCCTTTAATCCCAGCACTTGGGAGGCAGAGGCAGGCAGATCTCTGTGAGTTTGAGACCAGCCTGGGCTAAAGAGTGAGTTCCAGGACAGGCTCCAAAGCTACACAGTGAAACCCTGTCTCAAAAAAGAAAAAAAGAGTTAAATTCAAATATCTCTTTCTAAAGGAAAAAAGGATAGGAATGACATGAAAAAAGGTAGATTATTAAATCAACTTTAATCAAAAAAACAACTATTAATCTCAAAATATTTTAAATTGGTATGGATTTTGGTTTATTGATACAAATTTAAAGTTAATTTTGTTATACTGTATGTATGTTTCTACTCTTGTTTGGGATATTTTGTTTATGCAGCTCATTTAAAATATAATATATAATTAAAAATACAGATTAATAGTCATCTATAATAGTCAAACTTATAGTCAGATATGTTTTCAAGATCATATACAGATATATTTAAATAGATAGATGATCTTCAAACACTTCAAAGATCTACAGACTATGGCACTTAAGATGTTTCAATAATATAAAGCTTTTTATGATAATTAGACATGTCTACTCCTGGCAGCACCAATCTACTTCAGAGAAGATGGGCATTGAAGAAACTCCATATGGAGTTTGTTTTCTTTATGACAAAAGTTAGTCACTGGTCAAGAAACTGCCCTTGCCTCAACTGTTGACAGTATACTGTCCAAATTGGACAAGCAGGACACAAAAGAAAGCAACTGCTGAACTTTGCCAAGACAAGGTGGGACAATCCTTCAAAATTCCTGATTCACAGGAAAGTCTGTCAAATATCCTAGGCCTGTAGGCCAGAGATGGTTGCCACAATGTTGCAAAGGAACCTTGGGTGACTGTCCAAGCAGCAAGCTGTCTTTGTCATTTCTATAGTTTTGGAAGTTATTTGCTCTGCATTTCCTGTTTAGTCAGGTAATATTAATACCCTTCTCAGGTCTTTGATGGGGTTGAACACTAGATAGTTACATTTACAGTTCTCCCTAATCATGCTAGAAAGTAAATTAGGTACAAAACTCTGGAGTTTTCAAGAGAGGACAACTGATGGAATATTTCCTCTATTTTGCCAAATACAAATGGACTGGATATTGTAACTGTAATTCTTACTTGCTAACTGTTTTTGATGTATATAATTTTACTATGTTAAAGTTAAAATCTTCCTTTTTAAGTAGACAAAAAGGGGGAAATGTGGAATATTCCTTTACACTGTGTGAATATGTCACTGTGATTGGGTTAATAAAGAAGCTGACTGGCCAATAGCTGGACAGGTAGAGGTTAGACAGGACTTGCAGAAAAGAAGAGAGTGCAAAGAAGGAGGAGAGGAGTCTCTGACCTCAGTTAGTGTAACTGCCTTAGTAGCTCTCCAACAACTTTGTATACCACTGAGCACATGAGATTATAAACTACTGGAGGGCAGCAGGTTTCGTTATAGTAACTGCATCTTCCCCCATGTGGCACAGGACCAGGGACAAAAGAGTTTCAGTTCTGCTACAGTGCTGGTTTTGAAATGCAAATTTGTTCAAAGACAGCTGACACATTAGGAAACTGAGCAGTGAATTTCATGCTTATAAATGATTCTGCAATTTCAGAAGTGATAAACACAGAAAACTTCACACAGATGATCCTGGCTGAGCAGGAAAGCTCCGTATGTACTCTTCTTCCAATATCTGTCAGCTACCTCAGTTTACCACTATAACTTTCAACCCAATTCTGACAAGCCTTTCTACAAAACTCGTTTTTTCTCAAGATAAAGTGCTGTATTTATTGTAGTATTTGCATACTTTCTAACCATATTATGCCTAAAACAGTTCTGTCACTTCTTTTGTATGTGTGTGTATATATGCATGTGGAGGCCAGAGGTTGACTTCCTTAATTGCTTTCCATTTATTTATGGAGGCAAGGTCTCTTGCTAAGCTTAGAGCTACTCTAGGCTAGCTAGATTGTTCAAGGGACCTCCTTGAACATTTCCTAATTGCTAGGATTACAAGTAGGCCACCATATCCACTTGACTTTTATGTAGGTGCTAAGGATCCAAACTCTAGTCTTCATACTTGTGTGGCCAGTACTTTATCTCATGAGCTATCTCCCTGCTCTTCATTTCTACCATTTTCACGTGTCACTGATATTCTACATCCTTACTTCCATTTTTCCAATAAATCCATTGGTTTTCACTATGATTTTTGCTTAGTGTGGTCATTTTAAAAATGCCTCTATATAGCAGAAAGAACTGCATTCAGTAGTCTTCTGGTTGATGGTGAACAACACTTTCTCTTTTCCATAGATACCCAATTCCTAAAACTGTAGTAACAAGTGTATTTGTCATGGAGGCTAGCAGATCTGCCCACAGTTGAAGGTAATAAATGTTTATTTATAACCAACTGCATGCCAGACAATGTGAGGCTGTGAAGACAATGTGTCTAATGAGAAGCAATGCCTGTACTAGGCTTCTACTCTAGTGAGAAGAGAGAGACAAACAGTTATTACAATAGAGTTGGACAGATGCCATTATAGAATTATACAAGTTTTCTCCAACTACAAAAACCTCCCAGAGGAAGTGTTCCTCCTTCCCAGATATTTCAAAGGCTTTACTTGCTTATCCCCTTTCCTGTTACCTTACTGAACATGCTGAGTCTGTGAGCACTGAGCAAGGATACAGTACCAGGAAGAGTTAATATGGCACAGGTGGGAGAGATAAGGGCCCCGAGGGATGCAGGTAGAACGGTCCCATAAAAGGCCCCAAGAGGCACTGGTCAAGGTAATGAGAGGCTGCCAGCACACACTGTTCAGAGCAGCTCCCTAGTCAAGTCTTCAGCTGGTGGCTTTGTCTTCCCTCAACCTTGAAGCTTCTGCTGGGGGCCAGATGCTCGCAGGGGACTCCATCTCTTCATCCTGCCTCCTCCATCAGAGGTGTTTCTTCACACATTTAGTACGCTGGGATTTCTACCATTTCCTCCTTCAGTTGCCTTACCTCTGAGGCATTCCAGAAGTAAGACTCTAGTGGAAGCCCCTTCTGGATCCAGAAGATGAAAGGACACCAAGAAGAAAAGCTTCTTTTCTGCTGTCATCATCTCTCTCTCTCTCTCTCCATTGCTCCCTACTCCCGACTTAACTCTCTACCTGATGTTCAAGATTACAACTTCAGCACCAAATCCAGAATAATGTAAGCACCCCTTGAGCCCACCAAATTTCCTCTGTCATTCCAGGCTCCCAGCCTCGCTCCAGATCTTACCTGTGACCCCATTATAGTTTCTCCCTGTCTTCCTATTCTGCCTCCTCCTTGCTTCTTAGTGTATTGGTACCCCAAATATTAATTATAGGAAACAGTTAAGATCACTGTGTCTACCTCTATTACAGAACCAAAATCAAGAGGCTCAAAGTCCCTCCCAAAAATATAGTCAAGAGATAACCTGATCACTCCACACCAGTTTTCTTCCCAAATACAGAGACCAAGACTGACTGTCCTTGGACTCTGAGGAAGAAAGCAGTCATCTCAGCTCTGTCTCCCCAGATAGACTCACACTGAAGGATTCTGCCTGTACCAGCACCCCATCAGTCACATACTTCCTTAACTCTTCCTTTCTACCCCTGCCTCTGCTCTCCCTATAACACTCATGGATTACTAGGAGCAAGGATTCTCCCATTCTAGCTTGTGTCATTATCCATCCAACCTGTCTCAAGCAAAAATTATGTTCCTGTAATATTCCAGGCCCTTTACCAGTCCATGTATGGGTTTGTGCCACTGTGACATCCCCAGAATCTCTCCTCCTGCCCTGCCCCCATCAGGAACAATACCCCTATGAGACCCAAACTTCATCCTTACAAGATGGCACACAGTCGAGCTCCACAGTCCAACTCCACCTTCCAATGCCCAGCTTTCTTCATATTGACTGGCATCCCAGGGTTGGGAGATGGCCAGGCCTGGCTGACACTGGTGTTTGGGCCCATGTATCTGCTGGCCCTGCTGGGCAATGCAACACTTCTGACAGTGATCCGGATAGACTCTACACTGCACCAGCCCATGTTTCTACTCCTGGCTACACTGGCAGCTACTGACCTGGGTTTAGCCGCATCTATAGCCCCAGGGCTGCTAGCTGTGCTGTGGCTTGGGCCCCGACCTGTGCAATATACTGTCTGCCTCATCCAGATGTTCTTTGTACATGCACTGACTGCTGTGGAATCTGGTGTGCTTTTGGCCATGGCCTGTGATCGTGCTGTGGCAGTGGGACGTCCACTACACTACCCTACCGAGGTTACTAAAGCCCGGGTGGGCTATGCAGTCTTGGCATTGATACTGAAAGTTGTGGCTGTTGTGGTGCCTTTCCCTCTGCTGGTGGCACGATTTGAGCACTTCCATGCCAAGATCATACACCATGCCTATTGTGCACACATGGCAGTCGTAGAGCTGGTGGTAGGTAACACACGAGTCAACAACTTATATGGGCTGGTACTTTCATTGGCTGTGTCTGGTGTAGATATTCTGGGCATTGCTGGATCTTATGGGCTCATTGCCCATGCTGTGCTTCGGCTACCTACCCGGGAGGCCCGGGCAAAGGCCTTTGGTACATGTAGTTCTCACATCTGTATCATCCTGGCCTTCTATGTGCCCGGTCTCTTCTCCTTCCTCACACACCGCTTTGGTCATCACACTGTCCCAAAGTCATTGCATATCCTTTTGTCCAACATCTATTTGCTGCTGCCACCTGCCCTCAACCCCCTCATTTATGGGGTCCGCACCAAGCAGATCAGGGATCGATTCTTAGAAATGCTCAAATTCAGAAAAAAGCCATTTTAATGGACAGTGGGACCTTGGCATAAACAGGGTAAGGAAACTCCTTTGAGCAAAACCTAGAGTCTAGAAGTGTGGGTTATGTTGTCTTTGTCCTACATATGCATAGAACTGTGATGACCCAAAAGGTATTTACTGTGAAGCCCTTGGTGTGTATACTACTGGCACCTGGATACTTTGGCCTAGCCAGCCATGTCTTGCTTGAAAGGAGACAAAGGCAGGTGCTGCACATTACCATGCAGGGAATACAAAAGGAGATGAAGGAACTAGTTGAGATCCTATGATCTAGTCTATTTGAGAATCTCCCTTTCCTATCCCCACCCCACCATTTGAACCCAAGTCTCACTATGCTTAAATGTGTCGCTGTCTGTCTAGAGTTACAACGCTCTCTATACCTGCAGTCAGACTCTGTTTTCAGCCTGTTCTCAAGGAGTTACACAAACTTATACTCCACATTTTAAGAAACTGGAAAGTGTACCCTATAGTGCCAATCTACCCAGAATATGGGACTTTAAGACACTCCCAAAGTGTCTTGGTCTTGTGTGTAATCACTACTTTCCTCTTCCTTCAATTCCAACGAACATCCCCCAAAGCAATACCTACAACTTCTTTCTCTGAGGCTGGGACTTTGGGAGTCAAGTATCCAACTAAAAAATTAAAGATGGTATCTACAGGATCGAGTCATTGTAATCACTTGTCAATCTGCCCTTTTGTTTTCCCTCAGCCAAGAATGAAAAGTCCCCCAGTAAAATCCCCCATCAGAACCCCTATATGTCCTGCTCATTGCACTAACAGCATGTGATACTGCTGCAATATGATGAAATGGGAGTATTTCATGCTGCTGCCGCTGCCCAGAGATATTAAACAGGAAGTGGCACGGTGTTGCCCAATGGGGGAATTCATTTTCAGTTAAGGCTGAATAATGGAAGGAATAATATATAAGAGACAGGGAGTCACAGCTGTAAAGTCAGAGAAAACTGCAGTCATCAAGTCTTGGTGTTAGTCAGAGAACCATTCTGCACAGTAGCTCAGAGAGCTGGACCAAGCATCATGAGACATCACACAGACGAGGTAGCTCCTGTGTAGAACATTTTTGTCATTTCTAGGGCTAAATGGGGTCTCACTAGACCCCTATAAACAAGAGGTACCTCAAAATGCCTGCATGATTTCAAGAGCACACTGAATCTGAATGGCTGAAGAGGGTATCTAGTCCAGTGTTTCTCTACCTTCCTAATGCTGCAACCCCTTAAAACAGTTCATGTTGTGGTGACCATCAACCATAAAATTATTTTTATTGCTACTTCATAACTGTAATTTTGCTGTTATGAATAATAATGTAAATGCCTGTGGAGATAGATAGTGGCTTGTCAAGTGACTTGTCACAACCCACAGGTCAAGAACCACTGGTCTAGTCAATCATGTATGAGTTTAGTTATTCCCAAAACTTATCTTTTTCATGAAGTTCTAAGTTTAAAAGCTCTCTATAAAATGATTTTATAGAAAACTAACGAAATACTAGTCCTAGAGCTGGAAGAGATGGCTCAGTAGGAAAACTCCTTGCCTGAAAGCATGACAACCTCTGTTCAGATAGATTCCCAGCACCCACATAAAAGCTAGGTGCAAGTCTGTAACCCCAGTACTGAGGAGGAAGACAGAGAAGATATAGGCAGATCCCTGGAGCTCCCAGGCCATTCAGTGAACTCCAGGTTAAGAGAGAGACTGTCCCAAAAGGAGAATGACAGAGGAAGATACCCAACCTTCAACTCTGGTTCCTCCATACACATGTGTGTGCACACAAAGACATACTGAACCTGATGGATCACACGCTAAGATACCCATCTCTCTTTCATAAGAAATTTCCCTTTAGGGATGTGGGGATGTGGCGTGGCTTGGGAGGGAGGGCTGGGGAGTGGGAGGAGGGAGGAGGTGGGATATCTGGGTGGTGTGTAGAGTGAGCAGAAAATTTCTTAATAAAGAAAAATGAAAAAAAATTCCTTTTGACAAATCTATTCTGAGAAAATAACTGAGATGTGAACAAACACGTATGGCAGTAGAATATTTATTACATTATTAAGAAATATAAAGGAATTCCTGTGTGATAATCCCATATTATCACACACATACATACACACACACACCATTTTCCCTCTGATACATGGGAAGGGAAATCATGTGCAATCAATGCTCATGAGCAGAGTCTGTCACCATCCCAACATGGAGAGAGCAATGAGTCTGTCGCCATCCCACCATGAGAGACTGCTCTAAGGCACCTTCAGCTCCTAGCTGTGCAGATCTCCCAAGGTCTCTTGTTCCAAAGCTGTGTGCTAAGAATGTTTTTCCTTCAAGTCGTAAATCTAACACATTTGTGTTTTGTTGACAATGCATACATACCTACCATGTGATATGTTCAGAAAGCTTTATCAGCACATTCTAATTCTTCACAATAACCTGAGAATCAACAATATGCCCACAGCTCATCACCTATATTTTCAAAATAAATAATCTCTGTAGAAACTTTTTTTCTATAGCTTTGGCCCAAACCCTAGTCCCATCCATTATGATCTTATTTATAGCCTTTATTTCACATAGTGTAAATATTCATATACTTAACTGAAAAGAATGTTGATATGTTTGACTATAGGGCACCCTGAATCTCAACTGCGATATTCCTTAACATATGAAATATTATTCCCTTCCATAAACTGAAAATTTCTCAGCTCTAGGACATATTTATCCCAAAAAGCTTAAAATAAAGCATCAAGAGTTTATATAATTTCCCTGCAGCCTGAAACAAAGGAGTATTAAGGATCTTGATTACCTCAAAGTCTTTACTGTCAACGCTATTCTATGCTGCCATGAGATTCATGCAGATAATCTCACGTTCTGTGCATAAACCGTCCTATGTATTTACTCCCAATCTCCATTCAGATCACTCTGATATCCTCAAGGTGATCAGTGCCTCTTTCCAAAGATACCACAGAATGATGGCACATGGGAAGCAAATCCTAGCAAGATATGGACCAACAGCCCAACCCTTGGGCTCACCAACTCATTCAGACTCAATTGCCATCTGTTTTTCTTCAGTATCTTTCAGTCTCAGACTCTGAGCAAAAAGGAAAGAGATTTACTCAACATTAAGGTAGAACATCATAGAATTTAGGGAGCCTAGAGATTCACGGGAATCAGAAAGCAACGAAAGGGAGGAAGGTGTGGGCTTCCAAATGAGTAGCTTATCAGAACCCAATCTGCCCTCTGAACCCATGTCCATGAACAAAAATTCTAAAATCTTCTGCTTCCTATTGGACCAATAAGCCACCAGCCCTGCACTGATCTCATCCATCTCTTCTCATTCTGGATTCCCCGTGTCATCTGCACAAGAATCACTCTTTGCCTCTCAGTCAGCTCTTCTACACTGCAAAGGTGCAGAGGTACATGGTTCTGTCCCTTCTACTGGTCTCTATCTGCCTCTTACTCCACCTCAGTGTTCCTTATAATTTCTTTCAGAAGGGAACAGAGTTGCCAACTACACTACACTAGCTATCTTTTCCTTGTCAAACAAAATGAAAGGATGTGATAAACTAGGTGTAATGGTATATACCTGCAATTGTAAAACTTAAAACAGAAAAAGACAGAAGTTCCACAAGTAGGAGGCCAGCTTCAGTGACACAGTGATATGCTGGCTCAGGGAATGGAAAGAATGGCACAGGGGTTAAAAGAACTGGCTACTCTTCCAGAGGACAAGGGTTCAATTCCCAATACCCACCTGGCAGCTTACAATTGTCTCTAATTCCAGTCCAAGGAATCTGATGTCCTCTTCTGGACCTCACTGGCACCAGGCACACATGATGCATAGACATACATGTAGGCAAAACATCCAAAAATGTTAAAAATTAGAGCCCTAATATCAAAGATGGTATTTTGTTAGGGCCTTGTTAAACAAGTATAAAGAAGGAATTGGTTTTGGTTCTCTTAAACTCAAGGTTTCTCATTTGGACTGATGTGGCTTCTCTTGTATCCTGCCCACTTCCTTCTCACTAAGCCACACGTATTTCTCCCATCACACACTGAAGTGAGCCATGCAACAGCACCAAAAGGAGCTACTGTTCTGTAGTAAGAGCTGAACCCCAGGTCTGTTATTAACTATTCACTGTATTGTTGGCTAATTAATTTTTCTGAACCCTTTCTTCACTATAAAATGAAACAATAATACCTACTCCAGAAAAGAAGCTGGGCACAGTGGTGCACACCTGTAATCCCAGCATTCAGGAATCTGAGGCAGGAGGATTGCTGTGAGTTCTGGCCAGTGTGTAGCTACAAAATGAGTTCAGAGCCATTCTGGATTACATAGTGGGGCCCTGTCTCAAAACAAACAAACAAAAAAAAAAAAAAAAAAAACACCAAGAGATTCCTAAAAGAATCCTCTAAGATAATACATTCAGTATCTGACACAGGCCCTAGCACAGACAAGTTCAACAAATATCTGACATTAATTTTTTAGTAGAACTAAGTCTACTGTCACTCACTTGCTAAAAGGCCTGGCACCTGTCCATTTAGTTCTGAGAGATGTGCCTTCCCTTGAGTTCAACTCTATCTCCTTTAGGAAAGTTTTCTTGATAACACTTTCCCATCACTGTAGTATCCTTCTGTGTGATACAACACCTATCACTTCAGCTGGCTCAGATGATAGCCAGGTTTGCAAGACAGCATTTTTCTCTAGGTCAGGCTGTAAAAGGACACCCCCTAGATAGGAGACCTCCAAGGGGCCTGAGAACTATGGGACAGACAAGGTAAGGAGTGTGTAAACAATTACTAAAAAGTTCTAACGAGATTTCTTTTGAAGTTATTCTTCTCCAGAAAAATATTAGGTGAGCTCTCCGGACAAAGACACAAGGAAGAAGACAAGTAATAACTAGAGTGGGAGAGGAAACTACTACATACAAATCAGCCTAGGACAGGAATGGAGCATGAAGAAAATCTTCATGTTTACCTGGGTAATTCTGCCTTCCTGAAAAGTCTTACCAGTTACTAAGGGAACAAAATTCCATTTAGATCTTACTCTTCACATTATCATTGCTCAGCCTAACACACTCCCACTTTCCACTGCTTTTATAACCCACTCATTTAATAACTGGTTTCAACCGAGGAGCTTTTAGAAGTTAGGATTCCCAGGCATACCCCAGACAAATAAAAACAGAATCTCTGAGAACAGAAGACAAGTATCAGTAATTTTTAAATCCCCCAGGTAATTTATAGTTTGAGAATTACTGGAGTTCTTATTGTTGCTATTGTTGTTTAGAAGTTTGTTTTCAGTGTAAGTCTTGATCTATACTTCCATATCTTTCAGAACCCCAATGCAACTTCAAAGAGAAGTAATCTACAACTAACTAGATGGCAGTTACTCTAGTAAAGCAGTTAAAGTGTTCCTCCCTCCAAAGCAAGAGAATGACCACTCCAGGCTGAGGCAGAAGACCAGGAGACCATGAAACAAGACTGCATAAGATGAGAAAAAGGAGTGAAAAGAGAAGAGGAGGAGAGAAGAGAGAGTGCATCTTTGTGCTGTTCAAAGGGCAGGGCAGGAACAGAAAGGAAAAATGAAATGGCAAAGGAAAGAAAGGAAAGGGAGAAGGAAGTAAAAGTTTGTAAATATTATGGCCCACAGGCTGCAAGGAGGCTAGTAGGGTTACTGTCCTCTCTGAATCCAAGGCTCCATCACCTAGCAGGACCTCTATGACCTCACGCTGGAGTAGGTCACAGCCCAAGGTGGGGGGAGGGGGCACCTTAACTTCCTGGGCAGATTGGGGGTTCCTGCAGCAGTCACTACCTTGCCCAACCCCTCCCCACCATGTTGGTCAGTAACCCCCACCTGCTAACACTGGATGAAGCAGATGCCACTTGGGCCCTCATCAAGGATAAGGTAGGTAAAGCAAGGAGGTTAAGGAGGAAATGGCAAAGTGTGACCAGGCTGATTCTGAACAAAGTCATTCTTTTATGTATCCAAGTATCTGCCATAGTCTGGCATAAAATAAGACATTCAGGGTTTTGCTATAGGAGGAGACAAGGAGATAAGAAGTGTGGATCTGTGTATACCATAGAAATGTACTTAAACAGCAAACAATGGTGGGAAGGTCAATTTAGACAATACAAGTTAACCTCTGACCTTAACTCAGCCCCTGACTTATAAACTGGCCACCTGCAGGTCATCGAGGAGCGTTTTGGGTCCAATGTAGTGGCAGTACCTTTCCTGTCGGATGCAGCCTACTATGATCTACTGGGCGTGCTAGTGAAACAGTCCCGTCGAGCCCACACCCGCCTAACTTTGCCAGGCCGGCAGGGCCGAAGGGCACTGAAATCAGTAGGGCTGCTACCAAATCTTCTAGAACAGGCAGGGTCTGAGGGTGTCTTTGCCCACTGCACTCGGGAATACTCACCAAATGGCCGAGCCGAGATAGCCTATGAAGAAATGCGAATGTTGGATGGGCAGCCCTGCCGGATCCGCCTACATATGGGAGGTCTGCGCAAGAAGGTTGCTTTCCTGCTGCTACCACCAGGGCAGGTGAGCCTACAGCAGAATCTTCCCTGGATCCGAAGCACCCACAGCATCTACGTCATCTACCAGGTCTTCTCCTGCACCTGGCTGCAGCTAGGGCTGTTACCTACAGCCCGTGAGCCCCAGCTGCTCCGGTTACAGCGGTCACTACCTATTGCTTTCTCCTGCCTCAAGTTTTCACTGCAGCCCAAGGGTGTGCTGGGACCACAGAAGTCTCTGACCAAAGATCCCTTGCCCCAAGGAGCCACCTGGGTTAGACCTAGCCTTAGCATCTTATCAACTCTGGCCCCCACATCAGTACCTGCTGATACCCTTGAAGTTGCTGATGCATCTCCACCTGTCCCAGCCCCACCTACACCACCTCCCCAAGAAGGGCCAGAAGGCAGACCCACCAGATTCTCCTATAAGGGTCGAAACCCCTTCCGGAGGGGCCCCTATATGCTTTCAGGTACTGCTAGGGGAAATGAAGATGAAGCATGGGAAAGACCACTGGAGGGAGAGGGTACAGGGACTATAGCCCAGGAATGGGTTCAGCAGCCCACAGTGTATACCGGACCCTTATGAAGGGACAGACTTGAGGGAGCCCAGGGAGGGTGAGATGGAAGCATGGCCCTGGTAAGGGTGTGTGGTGGGGGATGCAGCACAGAGAATCAGGGTGGGGGGGACTAGGGCGGAAGACCAGGGCATGAGTCAAGCTGTGACTATCCCCAACCCTAGCAGAGAACTGGCTCTTCAGCCCCCGCAACCCCCCACCAGGAGGCCAGGGTGGGGGCCCCGGGGACCCCGACCGGCACTCCATGTCCCTGCCCCTGCTGCAGGGTCTGTCCTCAGAGTTCGACAGCGACGAATGAAGCTGAGGCAAGAGACGCAGGGGGCGAGGCCCCTAAGATCTGACATAGGGATAATGGTCCCCAATAAACATCAGCTGCTGCACCCCCAACCACCCTGGGCCTGTGTGCTTCTTCTTTCTTGAGTCCAGAAAAATGAAGTCTCCATTTTCCCCTAAGCATTAAGTCCTCTCACCTTCTAAGAGTAAAGGGGCTATCCTGAAACCCTATCATCAGTGTTATCTCCCCTGATGATTCCCCCACCTATATACAACCTTCACAGGGCCACAGCCCCATAGATAAAGGGTGGCAAAGAAGAATGAGCACAGAATAGAGATTTCCCTTTTATACATATTGCAACAAGTTCTCATAAAACATTCATCTGAAATAAATTAAAAAGTCCATTTGTCACTGCCTCCAAACATAAAAAGGAGCCCATGTCCTGGAAATCGGCCCAGGCCACAGAAGGCCCTGATTGTCCATGGAAGAAAATTAAGGATTGAGGGGCCCAAAGCCTGAGACGGGAGGGACAGATACCTCCTCTGAAGTATCCAACAAGAAAGGCGAGGTGACAGCATGGGCCTGGGAGATGGCAGCCAACTCCTTGAGAAACTCAGGGAAAATGACTGCACAGTAGACAGCATTCTTGACTCGCAGAGCCTCACCTTGGCGTTCAGAAGCCCCGCCCCGGGGGAGCAGAACTGGAGTTGAAGCCCCTGGAGAGGCCCCACCTAGTCCAAGTCCTGTTCCTTCTCGCCCAGGTTGAAGAACCTGTGCCGCCTGCCGGGCCCTGGTTGGACTGTGTGCATGCCGCAGGAGTAACTCCCCCAAGGATGGCCTCCGGCTCCTCACTGAGAATAAACAGGAATATCAAGAAGGTGCTGGGATCAGGGAACATGCTCTAGTTTGGGGAGCAGATTTCCCAACCCCCTTAGCTTCTTGAACTTCTCCCCTGGGGTTCTGGAAGAATGGAAGGACAAGATGGACAAGAACTGAAGTTCATTTCTTATCTCTAAATATGACTAAAGATTTGAGACAGGTGCTTTTCCTCTTTCTCTCAACAAAATCCTGCTTGCTCAGCCTTTCCCCTCTATCCTGTCTCCTTAGCAGTCAATATTTGTATGACTGTATTCCCAGCTACAACTCCTTCCTTCTCCATGACCACCTTGGTCTGATTCATTCTAACCACTATTCTACCACCACCAAGATCACTCTCATACATAACATACCCTAACTTTGTGTTTCCTAACCTTCCTAATGTTGGGACCCTTTAAATATAGTTACTCATGTTGTGGTGACCCCCAACCATAAAACTATTTCATTACTACTTCATAACTGTAATTTTGCTACTGTTATAAATCGTAATGTAAATATCTGAAATGTAGGATATCTAATATGTGCAGCATGGTGCACCCCCAAAGGGGTCACGACCCACAGGTTAAGAACCACTACTCTAGCACTACACACAGTCAACTACTTCTACTTTGCTCTGACTACCTAAAGCTGACCGACATCCTCTGCTCCTTCAATATCCGTATGTACAAATGTAGTTCAGGGACTGCTTCATTTCTTTACACTCCACTGCCTGTCTAGGATCAATTTCCTTACACCACTACTTCATCATCAGTCCTTATACCCAACAAGACCTCCCTCCCACTGGCTATGCCCAGACAACTTTGAATTTGAATTTTAGAACTGAGCTATCTAAAATACTGTCCTCTGTCTAACTTCATCACTTACGTAGCCTAGATTCTAGCCCCTAGAACATGATAAATGTTTATTGGTTACAGAGACACCATACAGATTTATTAACCTTGCATTCAGAGCCCTTCACAACCAGGGTCTCATTTAGCAACCTACCTTCATTGAATCCAATAGGCACCTTACATCCATCTGTAGCTCCCTTTGACTACAATTTGTCATTCCTACTTTTTTATCCTTTCTAGCTTAATTATTTCCACCTGGGAGAACCCTGAGACGACTAATTGTGATCTTCCCTACACTGATTTCCTGTTCCACTATAAATAACATCAGTAATTTCTCCCCAAGGTTTCTATCTCATGCACTAAACTATAAACTCAAGAACTTAAGAATGTCACTTTTAATGCTTCCTTATCTCCTCAACCACTACCAAATTCTGTCATATTTAATGCTTCCTTATCTCCTCAACCACTACAAATTCTGCAAAAACTTCCTTCCCATCTCTGCCCTATCAGGTGCTTCCTTTCTTTTCCTTTATTCAAATTCAACCCTCCCTGGCCTGATTGTTCTTCCTAAATCCTTTCTCTTAACTCCCATTCACCTGCAATTATTCATCACATCCAGATTTTAAAAACCTCTCCTAGTTTCTTAGTGTCTGAAAGAAAAATCACAATTTCTGCCCAGCCTAACTTCCACTCAAAAACCTCTTACTCAGGCCAAATCTGTCTAGCCATATCACCAACTGTTCTACAGCCTTATAAACCCCCTACTCTCATTACTCAAGGGCACATGCTATGTCAAGTTCTCACAATATCTCAACCCAAGAACTTCTTTCTCCTTCCTGATGCCTAGATCATTATGCTCTTTCTTGTGATACTGCCAATCAGGCTCTTAATTAATAAAACAACTCTATCCTCTGACCCAAAACCGACAACATGAAGACTCAATTTTCAACAGCTTCTTCAGTTTCTGGATCTTAACTAACTTGGACTAATAAGGTATCTAGGGAGAATAAGGGAGGGTGGTCAGTTAGTCCTCACCTAGAGAATCAGAGCGGCGGGGAGCAGGTCCTGCTGTAGGACCCTCAGCCCAGTCCAGCTTGCCACGAGCAATGAGGTACTTCTTGGCTTTGGATAGCAGAGCAGGGAAGTCCTCCTGGGAGGCTGCAAAGCTCTCAATCTTATTCTTCACAGAGCCCAGCACCTATGAAGCACAATTGTATAATGTTTCTGATGGTTTTACATTGATACAGGCCTTTCTAGTCCCACAGCATCTGCTCCCAGCCCACCCAAGGTCACTCTAGCTGTGGGCCTGGCCCACCACTAAGCCTGGACGCACCCATGCATGCATGCATCGCACACCTGCAGCAAGGACTTGACACTGGGCTGGAAGACCATGTTGGTGTTGAGCAGGAAAGAGCGGAGCAGGGGCTGGGGGTGACAGGCCAGCTGGGCCACCAGCCCCGTCAGCAGGAAGTTGACATAGACGGAGTTCTGCAGCATGTTCTCGAGTTTGGCAAAGAGCACAGCCATGAAGGGGCCTGGGAAGGGGGTGGGCACAAGGATACAAAGCCTGAACACAATGCACATCGCACGCATTCCTCCCCCAAACAAGACTCCCACTAGATGAAAATTGTAAGTATCTGAGGGTGTTAAATGACCTGTGACCACTTTCTCTAGACAAGGTAATCCAGATGTCAGCATTATAGACATTATGACTGAAGAGTCAGATCTTAGGCTCTAGAGTCAGAGATTTCATTTCAGATTTCAGATGTGCCCTGTGACTGGATAAGTTGAAAGCTCACCAACATTTAGTTTTTTATTTATAGTAAAATAAATATACCTACCTCATAAGATAATTAAGAGGACCAATGAGATATCAATGTCAAATATCAAGTACAAGATCTGGCAAATTTTTTCATTTGATTATAACCATATCCTACACTGCATTTCTCAGTTTTTAAGAAGCTTCACTCAAGAACACAACAGAATACACAGAGAGCCAAAACATCAAATCAGGTTCCATGAAGACAGAGTAACACAAAACTGGTCAGAAAGAAAGCAAAAAAGATGTAACAACAACAAAGAAAGAGACTACAAACTTCAAAGCAAGTAGTAAGTCTTTAGGGAAACAGAGATGATGTCAGCTCTGTCTTTCAGGCGCAGGGAATCAAAGAGGCAGACTAAACTCTACAGGAAAATAGCAGCTTAGTTTGGGGGCACAGGAAACCGATTCAGGATGACAAAAAGGGATTAGCATTCCATTCTGGGAGAAATGCCTTAAGACATGACACTGGACCACTAGAGCCACTGGATCACAGTATTTCTGATGAAAGATTTTTGGTGAAAGAGATTATTATTTAAAGTGTACTATCAAATGTGATAGAAGAATGATGAACAAGAGATGGTGAATCCTGAAACAGATATTATACCACCATCCACTCGAGGTGTCCATATGACTAGCCTTGGCTCAAAAGTAATACTAGCTTAAGAGTCCAAACAAAATCCCTAACTTTATCCTTTTGTTCATTCCCTGGGAATATCTTGTAAGGGTTAATGCAAAGAGCACAAATGACTACAAAGAAAAGGGGAAAGAAGTATCAATTAATACTATAAGACTGTGGTAAAACCACACCACCTAGAGGTACTGAACAGGAAAGGAGAGGAGCAGAGGCTAAAAGAATAGGAAGATAGTTTTTTTATAGTCTGCAAAAGAAGGAATATGGCTCCAGACAGAAGCCCCAGTGCTATACCAAGACAGTCAATCCCAGGCTTACCAAGACATAAAGCATACAAACTTGACTATTGACAATTAGGATAGGTGGTGCCTTATTCAACTTAAATTTTCCATGACCCATTGACGATAATCCCAGTGTAAAGCTACTGTTAGCTGTATTTTCACAATGTGCCAATATTATATTAAATGACTTTCATGCACCAATGGTAGGCAAAGTGCCAGCATAAGGGGTGCCTAATCCAAAGTCTATGGTCTTAACCCTAGCCATTGCATTGCTTCCCAGAAGTTTTTTGTTTTGTTTTCCCATGATAAGATGTAGATTACATCTTGATAAAGGCTTGTCTTGCTCATAAACAAAACAAAGAAGAGCCGGTCCAAAATCTCAGGTTGGATCTAGCCTTGGGGCATCAACCCAAAAGGGCTTATCAGGTACACTTAGAACCATGCCCTCAAAGAAGAATATCACTCACCCTCCAATCCTTATTAAACATAAGTCCTTAAAATAACTGTATTGTACAGTCATGGCAACCAAGAAGGTACAAGACAGTGGATGGGAGAAATGAAATCAGGCCCTTCTTTGAAGAGGCACGGAGGAAGGTGCTAAGCAGAAGAGAAAACAGCAAAAGAGCTGACTCCAGGGCCATCAAAGACGTAGCAGAAGACTCAAAACCCAAAT